GTAGGAATTTTCAATTATTTTTTTAAAATTGTAGAAAATGGAATTTCTATACGGAATTTCATTCAAATGTCCACCAATGAAAGTTTTATCCTAAAAATGACAATAAAGCTTCAATCGCTGCAAACTGTTTACGTATTTCTCTAACCTCCACCAGTCGCATTCATTCCTCTCACGTACAAATTATAATTTTTTAAATAAATGAAAATAAACAAACAAAATCAGCGACCATATTGTCCTTTATTTGACAAAAATAAAATGTTGGTCATTTATTTAAAAAAAAAAAATAATAATAAAATATCAAAATAAATCTCTATTAGCATTATCAATCAGGGTAATTGGCCAAATGCGCTGTATTCTATTTCAATTTCATTGAAAATTGGCAAAATTTATTACCTTATTACAGCATTCAAATAATGAATTGTTTTGTGTGAATTCCGCTCTGCTACATCCACAAGCCATTCATTGGCCTCCTCTCCCTCGCTCTCTCTCTCTCGCTCTGCTAACAATGTAACAAATCAGAGACAAATATTTTAATTGAAAACGGGACCCAGAGTTGGAGGACTCTGCTAACTAAAGGGAGTGAGAAAAATATAATCAAATGAAATGTATTCATTATTTCAGCTTCGTCTTTTTTCAATTTAGCCAAGAATGAAGGGAAATCTTGACTTTCACTTGCCTTAGTTTGCCTCTCCACACCTCTCCGCTGCCCTCCGCTGAAGATATGTTAAAAGGCAATGAAAATCTATTGAAAACAGATTTATTATGCAAATGTCTGTATCATTCAATGAGTTTCTATCGCATAAATGTGTGTGTGTGTGTGTACATCTCTATCTATTGATATCACATATGAGAATGTTGTTCATATACGAATGTATGTGTATATGTAGGTATAACGATGTGGTACCCAGTCACATGTGGAGGACATTTATGGGGGCAACAGGCAGCGGCCAGTCAATAATGTTGATACTTTGATTTGGATTGCTATTTTAAATAGAAATAAAAGAGGAAATTCAATACTGTAAAGTAAGTAAAATTACAGTATTAAGATGGTTGGAACTTTATCTTATCCTCCACCATAAAATGTATGGAAAGTTCACAAATTGTTTGCTAGAAAGTCCCTGAAAATTTACATCAAAAATTTGTGTAGGCAGTAGGTTTTAGAAAAATATTAAAATGTCGTTTTGTATTCTCTTGAAAAATCAAAAATTTCAAGATGAGTGATCAACAGCAATGAATATCCTTAAAAAAGCAAATTTTTTGTTGAGGAGGTCCTTTGGAAGTTTTTCTTTATTGAGAAGGTCCTTTAAAAGCTTTTCTTAAAAAATCTATGATTTGTGGGGAAAGATTCTTGAAAAATTATCTTAAAAATCCACATCATATAGGCAGAAGTCTCTTAGTATAAAATATTGTGGTTAATATGTTTCGTAAAATATAAATACGTCGGACAATGGTTTTTCAAATAATCCTTAAAAAACTTCTCAACAAGTCCACTGCTTTTGACAAGTAAGTCCTTGAAAGCTTGACCACGAGGATTTTGAGCATTTTATTTAAAAAAATAATTAAAAAAATCTCAAAATATTACGAATTTTAGTCACGAGATTCTTAGAAACTGTCAATAAATATTCATTGACAAATCACAATTTTTATAGATCCTTAAAAAATGGTATAAGAAATTCGACATTTTTTGTCAAAGTCATTGAAACATCACTTTAAAAAATTCTGAATTTTTTGATGAGTTTGTCCTTGAAATACGGCCTGGAGATCCTTCAAATATGTAAAAAATCTAACATTTATGGCTTGAAAAGCCGTGTTTGGCCAGGAGGTTCTTAAGAAACGTTTCTAAAAAAATTCCGATTTTGGCAGGATGTCCTTCAATTATGTGTTATTTATTTCTTCTTCATGTTTTACAAGGTGGTCCTTGAATTTTTTTTTCCTAAAAATTCAAAGATTTTTTAGGAGGTCCTTCAGAATACAGACAGTGGATATTCTTAAAATAATGCCGATTTTTTGTTGAGTAGGTCTTTGGGAAATTTGTCTTAAACGAAATTAAAATGTTTAGTCAAAAGGTCATTGAGATTTTGTTTTAAAAAATAACTTATAAAAAAAAAAATAACTTATAAAGCCTGTGATTAGGATTCGGTAGTATTCGGGTGTGTGACTATGTTTTGTGTTATTCGAGACGCAGTGGGGAAGATATCGGAAAGTGGGAGCTGGCTAAGAGCATTGAGCTGTGAGAATGAGATGGTTTGTTATTGACTCGATTGAAGCTAACATTGACACGACTATTGGGAAACATTGTATATGGTGTATATTAAAAATCGAATCGAAAATGATATACATACATATTTTTAAGGGAAAATTTGAGTAAAAAATTTTGAATTTTCAGAAATTTGTCTTCTGGCTACTCTCCACAAAAATTTTTGAAGGAGTGAACCTATATTGTCTTACTTTGAACTCTATGTAAGATCAAATCCTATCGGATGCTCTCTTGGAGGGATTAGTGCTCGCCCGCCAGACATGTCTAAATCGGATTCAAATTCCCAGAAATGAGTTGTATCAAAATTCAAAGAGATCGGGTTAAAATCGTTGATTCAAAGAGGCATATGTTAACCTATTACATTGTCCCTAAAGACTGGGGTTTGTTAAGGGATCCAATTAATTCTATTTTTGTTTTTGTAATTTTTGATTTTTTTTAATTCCGAATATACATAGATTCATGATGAATTTTAGTCTTACTGCCATATAAAAAAAATCCTTACTAATCCCTTCGTTATCATTCCCCAGCCACAAAGTGTTTGAAATTCGCATTGGAATCGATAAACAAAATAATTTGCATAAAAAGGAACAACCAAGAAATCTCCAAGATTTTGTGCTGTAAGCCATAGACTGGCAAATGAAAATCTATGCGTAGCTGGGTGCTGAAAATGAATTTCAAAATCAATGAAGTCCCTCGAATGGGGAGGGATAAACTTAAATCATATAGAAAAATAGATGAAATTTCCCAACAAAGGAAAAGAAATTCCCACGAAATTAACAAACGAAGAAATTATTTCAAATCCAACCATTTTAGCCAACCCTTTTCATTTCAATTTAATATTTCCTCTAGCGGGGATTTCTTTTCTTTTTTAAGAATAAAAAAACTGTAGCTGTAACAGTTGCCGTACTTGCCACACCAAGTGTGTCAGTTGCATATATCAGCTTAGATGTTTGCATAACATGCTCACAGAGAGAGGGAGAGTGTGCATCGCATAATTGGATTAATTCTTCTCGGAAAACGGACCGAAAAAAAATTTAACATTCAAATATTCAATTTTTGTTTTTGTTGCCACAATTTAATCTGTAACCATGTGCGGAATAGTAACTACATAATTGAGAGGGGCAGGCGGCCTGAGAGGCGAGGGTGCAATGAACAATTTAACAATTAGAAAGCGATTTTTGCCAAAGAGTTTTTTTGCAACGGATATAAGTTTACGTTTATTTGGGGTGGGGAGGATGGAGTGAATGAAGTGATTATCCATTTTTTTTTTGGGAGCAGAGATTGGATCGAGTGATCAATAAATTTGGTTCAATTTATTCACCCCATGACAATGTATTTTGGAGAGTTGTAATATGCTAATATCTTCACAAAAAATCAATTAGGTCTTTTGGAAAGAAAAGTAAAGAAAATCAAATGAATGAATTGGAGAAAATATTGTATTTATTAGAATTTAAGAAAGAAATTTGAACTCAATATTTAGTTTTGTCATTTAATGTTATGTAACAGTGACAGCCATGTTTTTTTTTTTTTTTTTTGCTTTTGTTGAAGTCAAATTCGGTCAACCTATGCCCGCCTGCACTCCAAATACAATTTACTTCTCATCCTGTTGTCTCTAATATCATTGAAGATAGTTGAGCCGCAACGAGATCAACAACAAGTTGTTTTCGTGGCTACAAAGTTCCAACTCATTTGTTTAGGTCAAACCTGCGGTTATCCTTGACCAGTTGAAGTTAGTTTTCAGTTTTAATTTCGTATTAATGCTGATGTTATATGAAAACTTTTTACAGCTGCCGCTGCTGCTGCTCGTTTTTTGAAAGGACCAACCGAAAGAGATCTAAATGGTGTACATTGGTGTTTGTGTGTGTGAGTGAGTGAGTCGAACTGTTGACCAGGATAAGCTGTAGCGTAGAATAAAACTAATTTCAAAACAACTGTTTCGCATGAAAGCTGCACTTCCTTTATGTCAGTGGTTTTCCTTCTGTTACTTCTAATAAAATACCAAGTTTATAGGTTTTTCCAGTGCATTTGAGCGCTACATCAGGTCAAGAATGATGGTAGCTATTCTATTTGTTTACTCACATAAAATTAAAAAAGCTAACAGGAGTCAGTCGGTTTTTCGACAGATATATAGTATCCATACCATCTAGACGAATCGTTTACTACACAACAAAATAGTTCTCAGAAATTGGAGATTGTATGAATTCGTATACTCATCTTATAGTATGTGCGATTTATGAGTATTGAAAATCGGAGATCAGAGTTGTTCGTTTGTACTCGCTAGTTAGACATTCTCGCCAGTAGAAGTGCTTGAAGAGTGCGAGTTTTATACAAAGTTTACTATCCAGTCTTTGGTTTAAATGATAGCGCTAGCGGTATGGTAGGAAGTCGAAGTTCTCGAAATAGATTAATAGTCCAATCTAAAAGTGAAACTAACAGCCTGTTCCACGATATCGAAAGAACACATTCGCAAAACTTTTACACGACAAACAGCTGATTTCCGTTCCACTAAAATTCATCAGAACGAAAATTTGCACGAAAATCAAAGCGAACGAAAACGTAAGCGTTTCAGTGTAATTTTGCGTTCCACTATCTTTTTTCTTTCGTACGCATGCGAACACAAATGTCAAAATCAGTCACTTGTGTGTTTGCTGTCGAATGATAAAAATTAAGGAAAATTGTTTTAACATAAACATTCCTTGATTGAAAATGGAAAGAAAAATGTAAGTAAAAATAATAAATGCAATTTAATCTGTGAACAACAAATATATATTTTTTTATTTTCTCAATTCCAGCACGAAAAAACTACACAGCTGCGGGCACTAGTTGAGTATATGGGGGAGAATCCTAAGTTCGCCAGAGGAGTGCCAATTTTTGGAAGCAGCAGGCAATCCCATGAAGACCACTGGAAGACACAAACCTAGAAAAAATCATTTTTTTATTATTTCAAAAATGTAAAAATACAATCATACTTACTGGTTGTTAGGTACTTCAAATAAATTCGAGGCATCTCTTAAATGCCTCCGTGGCACAATTTGAAACTCCTCCTCATCATCCATAAAAAATAGGGCTACAGAAATATTCATTTTTTTTCTTTTTTAAGAACACAAATAATCTGAACACAATCACTAGAAATTTTATTTTGTTTGTTTATTTACAATTTGTTTGTTTACAACTGAACTGTCAGTTGAGACAGAGCCACTGCTGCTTTTCGCGTTTAAATTAGACATTTGGCGCTTTTTTTGCCTTATTTCGCGATTAATTTTGCCAAAAAATATTTTGCAACACTGAATCACGTAAGGCTATGCGAAAGAAAGAACGAAAGTTAGTGGAACGCATTCTTATGCGAAAGTGAGTGAGTAGCCTTCGTTCGCACAAATTTTCTTTCGAGATCGTGGAACAGGCTGTAAGTGGTATTAAATATTTAGGTTGTTGACCTTTTTGCCGTAAAAAAACTAAATGTACCTTGTGCGACCATAAGGCTGGCGGTAATGGAACTGCAAAATCTGTCCAAGGGCCAAATACCCTGAATTTTCCATGCAAAAGTAGAGAACATATATATATATATTTCAGAGAGAGGCCTGGGCCCCAGAACTTTCTTTCTTTCTTTCTTTCATGCTTATCTTCTTGCATTTTTATACATCGGAAGATTATTGTTCCAGGGTGTTCCGTCACCAACTGCATAGTGACATGCCCGAATCTGTCGGGTAGGAAGTTTCCAAGGTATTTTATCCTTTCGGAAGTTCCTATTAGCTTGTATATCAAGTACGTTTTAAATCTTCTCTCCACTGTGATTCCGAAGCGACCTCATAGCGTCAATCCAAACAATTTCATTTTGTATAAAAGACCATGTTGTGTAATGTCGTCTTTTCAAACCCACAAAAAAAAATAGCATCCAGGTTTAAATTATATTTGTCAAGGTGGTAACTGATGCTGACTTTTACACTTCACTGTAGGTGTGGGGGACAAATTTACTGGCACAGAATGAGAAGACCGAAAACAAGCGTTACAAGGTATTCATGAAAACAATAGTTCAGCGACAAACCTACATTCCATTCATTGTTGTTTTCTTTTTTTTTCTCTCTAGTTTATTAATTTGTGTTACATATCTTGTTTTTGACTTGAATTTCGACTCCCTTCCTTCCTGACCGTAACTCATGGTTAGCAGATCAGTTTGTTCAATAAAGTCATGATGCACGTAATTAAACAACGACTTCCATAAAACTCGCGTTTCGGTCAAAAATATCAAAATATATTAACAGATGAATTATCAACTTTCGGCAAAGACAAAACATTCGAAAATTAATTGAAGTACAAAAAAATAAGTGAAGCCCCAAAAGTGTTATTGAAATGAAACAACACCTAATTATTATAATGTTTTCGAAGTGTATAAATCTTGAAAAGTTTGAAAACCACTGGAAATTTTTTCTTTCATCAGAATTTCGTTGAACGTACCGAGATCATCACTGTCGATATTACTAAACTTGGTTTCTTGTGGAGAATTTATCGAAGGTCAAAAAGTACAGTGTCATTGGTCTTCTTGTTAAAATTCAGGTAAACCAACTTCCTTCTTTCTTGGACCTTTAAGTCGAACACATCAGTTTTGGTAACTTGCACCCATAAAATAGAAAGTTAAAGTGAAAATTAACATTAGTTACTTAAACCAAAAAAACACCTCCGTTTATTATTGTGATCCTAAAGGAAATTCCTAACCTTAAAGTCAATTAAGGGATAAAAATAGCCTTACTAATCAAAACGAGCAATATTTCTTTTGAAAGGTAATAGAAAGTTTTAAAGTAAAAATTGTTCAAAATTGCCACATAAGCATATTTATTTTTTTTAAACAGACACCTCCCACACATAGATCCTATCTTCCTTAGTCACGTGGAAGTGGCGTTGGATCTATTAAGCCCAGGTCGTGACTACCCACAGGGCAGTGGCGGCTTGGGAGGAATATCTTTCTATACCACCTTCAAACTCGGCATTTACTACATAATAGAGATAACAGCAAAAAAAAAAAAAAAAAAGACTTGCTTCGATTTCATAACGCATCAGCATGAACAGTAATGATGCCTAAAAACTACCATACACCAGGCTATTTCCGTATGATATTGCCATAACTTCCAGACCAATCGATATTTGGATGCGTCTAAATAGCTGTCCCATGATGATAGGCACAATGCACTGAAATAAGCATTCGGTCTTCGAAAAATCTGCCATCAGTCAATACCTAAAAATCCATTATTTTGCGGAAATCGTTCTGAATTCGGCTGGTTAACTAAATTTTACTAGCTTTAAACCCGTAACTTTCCTACAAGGATGATGAAGTAAAAACTAAGGGATTAAGCATCTAAAAAGAACACACACTTCGTAAGCCGCCACCATTTTGTTAAAAGACCGCACCGAAATTTAACTATGTCACATTTGGCGGCAATAATTTATTGAAAGTCAACAATTTTATTTCCTTAATCTTCCGTTATATAACTACAAAACATGATATTTTTTTATTTCATCAAGTGTTATTTCCAACTAAATTTTTGTATTTTTTCGATGTTTAAAATTCAAAGTTGATCAATGCAAAAAGGGACAACAAATAATCATCACATCAATTATAACCCCCTATACAGCAAAACGACAGCAGCAACAACATTACACAACGTGGAGGCCTTCATATTGTTCGTGATATTTGTTGGTGAGTCTGAATAAAAGACAAATTAAATAAGTATGTAAGTAAACCAAAAAAAAAAAAAACTGTTTTTTGTCCAATCATTTGCATTGATAGGCTTTTACATAGATTGTAAGTTTGTTTGTAGTGAGCGAAAAAGAGCAACGAGATGATCATCATTTACAGAGTAAAGAGAAGTATAATTACAAACAATATGATGATGATGATTTTCCCCTTGTTCTTTTTGTCTAGTTAATCTCTTTCATTACCTATGGGTTAAGCAGAGACAAAGAATTTGAATAGACATTGAATTTTTTGTGTTCTTTGTTTTGCTAAAGCAACTCACCATTTCTTTCCTTATTTACTCAGAGTTCATCGAACTCTTCTTTCTCCAAATTGGATTTGTTGGTACAGTACCATCTTTATGTAATTTAAAATTAACTTCTGATAACCCCTTGGATTAAATTAATAATTAAAGAAACAATAGGTATAAGAAGGCTAAAACTTAATATTATTATTTTTTATAAATAAGTTAAATTTGTTTTTAAAGTCAAAAATGAATTTCCCCTCTGTCTACAATAAATTTGTTATATAATCTATAATGCATTGTTAAATTCCTGGCGATGTTTTCATTTAAAGAGATGAGATATTAAAATGGGAGGAGTTTAATTTATTTTGGGGTTCTCCTAAATATATAGTGCTTAAGAGAACATAGGAAGGCGTGGGTTATGAAGCACCTCTCCCAACATCAGCAGGGAGAATTTTATTTAACATATGTAAGAAAATACCTAAATAACTAGCACCTGTTTTCATATATTAATTTTTGTCAATATAAAAAATAGGGAGTCTGCAACAATATTAATTCCAGTAATGTAAAAAAGAGATTTATAGAGGGAAGGACCCGAACTCCCCCACCCGACTAGTGCTAGCGAATGAAGGCTCCCGCAGTCCTAACTCTCGTAAATTTTCTGATGCACTTTTAATGGACATAGCATATCGAAGTAATTCGTTGACATTACAGAATTTGGCGCCCAACGTGGGGCCGATAAGATGACAGTATCTTCATGGCTCTATTTTAAATTTGTTGTACTTATAAAATTCAATTCGAAATAGTTGTTGGAATTATATAAACTGTTGATTTTGTTTCGGTAAATAGTTATTAAAGTTATTCTGGATCTTTGGGAATCTGAAGTGCTCGGATTAGCCAACCGTTTAGTTGAAATAACCCTTTTAACTGTTCCAAACTCAATGGGTAAGATAATTCATCAAGTTGTAGCATTTCTATAGATTTATTTTCTTAACTATAAATAACTGAGGAATCAACATCTGTAGAAAAGACTGGATTCATTGTATTTGCCAGATATAGAGCATTTTTTTTTTTGACCGCTTTTCTATGGAGATAGTATTTAAAATGATATTAGTTGGTGTGTTCATTATAGTTAAGATTTTAGATTTACAGCTGCTCAATCAACCAGTATTTTTTATATTTTCTCATATTTTTCTTTAGTATTCATACTCCTACATTATATCTCATCTCTACAATGAAAACATCACATTTATTGATCTGATCTATCTTTACATTGTTTTATCTAAGACATTAGTGTGTCTACAACTTAAACTTTATACTCTGCTTTGGAAATAATCTTCCTAGGTCAATTGAATAGACTTACTGACTATATAACGACTATTAATTATTTAATATGTCTCTGGAACGTACTCCTCCACCATCGATTGCCCCTGTGGCATCTGCACTTTCCGAAGAAGTGGAAAATATTTGTACAATTTGCAGTCTTTTGATGGGTGAAGGACAAGATTGTCTTATTATTAGTGAATGTTCACATAATTTTCACCGATCATGTATCGAAGAGTATTTATCCACAACTTCTAATTGTCCTATTTGTAAGAGACCCTGCCAACTTAGCGAGCTGAGGTCTTCTGATAATTTACAAAGAGTTGTGAATAACGGCAAGCCCGCACCTAGAGGAAAAGGAAGAGGGGCGATGTCTAAACGGTATAACACCCGTCATGCGAATCGTAATTTATTACAGGAGGGCTCATTTAGCCTTAATACTAGCGTTCCAAACCCCGGCACTCCTATTCATAATCCGGATCCTTTACAAACAAATCGTTTGAATTCACCTTTTACATCAACTCAAGAGGTTGCTATTGATTATAATGTGATTAACCGCATGATTGAATTAAATTTGTCTAGACTTCTGCAAAATATTAACTTGATGCCAAATACTGGCAGTACAAACACACTTCAGAATCAATCTCAAAACCCCAATACATTGCCAAACACACACATTGATAATAATGCAAATAGAGAAAATGCTCCTGCAGAAACTACTCAAGGGAATCCTAGATTCAGTCATTTATCGCCTAGCATGGTGAATAATCCCCAAGCAAGCCAAGTTAGTATAGATAAAGCTACCTCTATAATTCAGAGTTGGGGACTACGATTTGATGGGTCGCCTAACGGAATTAATATCGAAGAATTTTTATATCGTATTCGGTCCTTAACTCATGATCATTTTAATG